CCGACTGGGCTGGTCAATGCCCAGCTACACGGTGATGGTTGACCAGTCTGGCAAGGTGCTCCCCCTCGCCCTGGTCCCCCCCTGCGCTCCTCAAGAGAAACCTCAGGCTGGCCATCGCACACTTTCATGAAAGGCGTCGTGGCGCGACCTTGCTGCCCTCTCTCCGTCAGCCGCTGCGAGTGTGTCATGACCAGATGCATGCCCACTTGCAGTCCAGCAAGTCCACTCTACCAGAAAGGGTGCATCAAGGCTGGAGTTCGTGGCGCTGTGTGGTGCCGCACCCGAGCCGTTGCTGAAGGATCTGCGTTCTCGGACTCTGATCTGGCGTGCCCGTTGTGCAGGCAGACTGCGGACACCATCATTCACAGGCTGCGGTCTTGTCCGGCAGTGGAGCAGGAAGAATGGAGGAAACGCTTGGTCGTGCTGCATCGCTTTGGCCGCCCTTGGACCTCATTGGAAAGAACGAGCCTGCTGAACTGTCGCTTTGCACCCGTGATCTGTATCACCATCCTAAAGATATATCGATCATCGCCAGCTGCCAGATCGGTGGGCCCGAGCCGGGTTTCCAAACTCAATGGACAAAGGGCCCCACTCGCACGTTTACGGAACTTCAAGGCAGGCTTTACGTCGATCGGTCTTGTTTCCGAAATGCTTCGTGCGAAATACCGAAGGTAAAATCGAGTGTGTCATGCCGGTCTTGCTCCTCGGACACTTCCCTCAGACTCTCCCAAGCCGCAGAGTTTGCGGAATACTGCATGGCAGTGCAGTGTGGCCGCTCAGAAGGCGATATGTTCAGTGCTTGGTTGAACATTGTTCACCAGGCCTGAGAAATCATTTACGCTGGACTCATGCTCCAAACTTTGGCGTCCAAAACCAGTTCCGTCATCAAGGTTAAGACACATGTGGCCGACAGCCCCGACCTCTCTGACCAAGCTAGGGCGCGCAAATTCGGTAACGATCGTGCTGATAAGGCGGCGAAAGGGGCAGCCCTTCGACACCCTCAGCCGCCTCAAAACGAGGTTGAACAGGATTTTTTTACGCAGGGCAATTCATCTCAGGTTTCTTGTCATCAAGGCGGTGGGGTGTGAAGGCCCAGGGCAGAGCCTCCATTCTCACCGACAGGAACTGAACCCAACACTGCAGCCTGATCAGGGCACCCCAAGGACCTCACGGGGCGCCAGGAGCATTATGAGATAGTGTTACGCTCAAGATGGATGGGGGTGCCGGGGCTCGAGACAGCTGCCCGGCTGCAAATTGCATGTGAAGCAGTAGATCGCGCTACATCAATGAGAGGGGTGCCAGGCATCCGAGCAGGTAACCCCATACCCACGATAATAATGCACTCCCCCCCTATACACATAAGAATTGATTATCCACGGCCAATAAGAGTTTGGTCGGGGGCGCGGGGGCGCGGAGGCCGAACTTCATTCTCACCGTGGAAAGTTCGCCATCGAGGTTACTTCCTTCTTATGTTGAGGTAGCAACATCAAGCGAAGCGAACACGCTTTTTCAGGATGTCTCAAGCGAAACCAATGTCCTTCTGTCTCGTTGTAGTTCTTTCTGTCTTCCTTTCTTTCTTTCTCTCTGTCTCTCTCTCTTTCTCCTCCTCCTCCCTCTGGCGCCCTGAACTTGTTTTTCGCTGGGGTTGATTATCCTGGGAAAACGAGGCACGTGAGCTACCCTACACGAGCAGATGAACATTTTAATTTTCATTGACCGTTTACAAATTAAATCTAAATTAGTTTTAAACTTTGGATGTTTGCTATCTCCTTCTCCTCTCCTCCTCTTGCTCTTTCTCCTCCTCCTCTTCCTCTTCCTCCTCTACCTCCTCTTCTCTTTCTATATTTCTATGTATCTCTCAATCTTTCTTCTCCTCCCCCTGCCCCCCTGAACTTGTTTATCGCTGTGGTTGATCATCATGGGAAAGCGAGGCACGTGAGGAATCTCTATAGAAACTCTGAGCTTCAGTTCCGTATCATACAAAAATATGAAGAGCCGAGGCGTTCCTTCAGCCTCTTTGAAAGGCTCCAGAAGTTTTTAATTTCGTTTTTGGAATTAAATGTCGATTTATTAATGGTGGATAATATAGAAGTGAAGCTCAGAGGCGCACGCGCACCTCCGAGCTTCAGTTCTGTATTGTAAAATATTAAAAGCCGACACGTTCCTTCATAATGTTTCAGAGAGGACAAAAAGCCAAGGATGTCTCAAGATACCCTCGGCTTTAGCTCATCTGTTAACATCTTTATGCTGGCCTCTGGTGGGCAACTTTTATTATCACACCGTAACCGCCGAACTTTATTCTCCCTGGGGGTTTATTCTCGGCTGTTCGGGGTTAGCGCTTCGGCGAACTGTGCAGGAGGGGGGGGGAGGAAGGGGAGGAGGAGGAAGAGGAGGAGGAGGAGGAGGACTCTGACTCTGACTGATGGCGAGGCCCGCGCGGAGGAGGAGGAGGAGGAGGAGGAGGAGGAGGAGGAGGAGGAGGCGGACGTGTCAACAGACGGCGGACAGCCTCGGGGGCTTGTCCAGACCAAGCATCGGAGAGGGTCCGATATCTCCGAACCGTCACTCGAAGGCGACCTTCAAAAAGCTCAGCGGCAGAGCCTGCTTTAAAGAGCCGACGCGCGTTGTGAGCGGCTAAGAAGGCATCGCATCATGCAGTGCGCAAAAAAGAGACCTCGGGAACATCATGGAAAAAGGAAGAGGAGGAGACAGTACCAGTACGGTTGATCGCCTCGAAGCCCACGGATCGGTGCAGAATACTTGTCCAGAAGGCAACCAACACCTGAGTAGGTACCGAAGTCCAGGCAGACGCAGTAATGGCCAATCGAGTCCAGGTCGAATCCATGGACAGGCGGGTCGTAACGAATAGGCCATTCAGAAGGTGCTATGTGAAAACTAGCACTCGCGTTGAAAGAAGACGTGAACAGCCGACTGCAACTCCAAGGTACATCGACGTGGGTTTCGCCACTTTATTGACATTCAAGCGGAAATCTGTAACCATTGATGCACAAACTTCGGGCATAATGTACTGGACACGACGCAACACGATGGATTTGGCCGGTTCCGAGAGCGTCAGATGTTGGATGAAAACGCACATTCAAGATTGCAACGGCCTGCTCCCGACATCGGACCCTGGGGCCTGAATAAGGCACCAAGAGAGTAGGCCACTCGTGTATGAGATGAAGAAATGATTGTATCAGCCTTTGAGCCAAAGGTATGGACTGGTTTCAATGTCATCACGGGCATCGTCCAATTCCTGCAGCACCTGGGGGAAGTTGGAGGAGCGGAGCATGTATCTAATACAGGCAGCGTCTGCCACGGCACGAATATCAGTAAACTCAGCGACCAGCCCACTCTATCTCTTCAGACTTCGTGACTAGGTTGCAAACGATTGCGTTACGGTGGCCGGCAGTGAGCAGCATGAGACCTTCCTTGAAATACTTCGTAACACCGTCTGGCTCGGTGGGTACTTGTAGAAACAAAGGAATCGGTTCGAAAAGCACATGACTCGGAAGGAAATAGCCTATAATGTAAGACCATGCCTCAGCCCCCGAGTGCGTCGAATACAATGGAACATGGTGGAGCGATGCCTTCCCAGACGTGGTAATGGGCCTCGGGACAGGTCGGCACCCCCAGTACAGGCTGTGTGGCTCGCCAAAAGAAGCCAGGGTAGCCATCACAAACTCACAGTCCAGTTCCCAACATGATGGTGTTCTGGCACTTCGTTTCAAGCTGAGGCGGAAGCTGGCAATCATGACCAAAAGCATCAGCGCCTCAAGCACTGGACCGAGATCTCTGAGGGTATTCGCTAGGCCGAACAAGAAACAAACCGTATAAGCAAGACAAACGGGGTTGAACAGCTTGCTCGCTTTGAGCATGTGTCTCCCTCTGTTGTTAAGCTGTAAGTCCACACAATACCTCTTTGGCCAAGGTTCGACGTCACCGACGTCCCCCAGACTAAACCCCCTCCTGCTACGAGGCCTCCTCCTCCTCCTCCTCCTTCTCCTCCTCCCCCCCATGACTGGCATTGGGAAGGTAGGTTGTGGATGTGCGCTAAATGTTTTCGAGCCTCCTGTGGCTCTTGGAAGCTGCCCCCTGGGCGCTGCAAGAACTCCTCCTCCATCACAGGTACCACCCCTGCATCGCTGCGCCTCTTGGAGCACGTCCCAATGATTTGGGAGTCGAACCGCTGTCAACATTGCGTGCGTCAGATGTGATTACTACACCTCTGGCGGACAAGTTCGGGGTCTCAACAAAAGATGTGCACCCCCCAACAGAGACAAGTGTGACAACGGCCGCCGTTACGCTTGGTCTTGCATCCTCAAGGGAAAATATCTCAAGAGTGGCGTGCCGCTTGACTCAGGGCCGCCAGGCGATGACGCCTAGTCTGGGAAGCCTTTCTGTCGTTCAGCCTCCCCAGCTGCTGGTGTCAGGGCCGCAGATTGGCTGGATGGGTGTGCTGGGTGGTTGATCTTGGAAATCCTTCCCTCTCGTGTCCTTCGTCCCTCGTTCCTCCTTCCCCTCCCCCCTTTCCCTCCCTCTCATCATGCCAGTTCTCCCTCGGACGACGGCGGCCAGGAAGAACACGAACCGAGATGACGACAACAATGACAGACGACGTTGGCAGGCGGGTCCCTGAAGGAATCGGGTACTGAACTGGGCGGGAGAGGGCATTTCCCAACACCAGCTTCTCGTCCCGACTCGTTGTCCGACGTCCCTGGGTGAAGGGGCCCAGGGAACACACAGAGACGTAGACACAACTCCAAGCATCCCCATACGTTCCATAGTTTCTGGATGTTCGTCTTCCATGTCTACTTCCCAGATTTGTTCATATTTCCAAGGAATCGACGATCATTTGTGTCTGTGTGCTGTTTCCCTCCTAACAGGCTGCTGGGGAAGGGCCCCGAGAGACCGAAAACCCGAGAACCTCTAGGACCGCGTCTCTCCAAGGCCCCTTGGCTTCCTGCAAACTGGCGACGACTTGGCGCTGCCGCTGGCGCCTGAGCCGCCGGTCCCGGAGCCGCCCGTCCCAGAGGTC